CTTGACCATTGGTATCATTATGCTGTTTCTCCATGCGTCTGGTATCTTGCAGTGCAATATTAGTTTTTGTATAAGTTTTGTCATCTCTAAGGTTAAACTTTCTCATCCGTATTTTAGAAGCTCGTTGGTTATTCCGTCTGGTCCTGGTGACTTTCTATTTTTGAGTGAATTTATGACTATTTCTACTTCGTGAAAACTGATTTTTATTTCGTCTCTTAGTTCACGTACGTTATTGTGTTGATTATTATTTTCCTTTGCTTTAAACAGTTCCGTCAGGTATCTTTCCCATTCGTTTGCTGGTATATTATTGTATTCCTTAAAGAGATTGATGATAATATTATTTGTGAAGAATCAATGAAATCGGATATTGCAGATACATAAGAAATACAAGTGATTGGGAATTCTAACGATTCTGATTATGATATTCCTCTGAACCACAGATAAAACGTCCAAAGAAAAAACCAATAAGTAAAAATAAGGCAAAAATAGTAAATCCAAATTTATCTCAAGTTATAATAAAGGATATTCTTTCGTGCTCAGTAGTAATTCAACATCAGTCTGATTGATATTTAGACAATATAAAAGCATGCAACCATGTAGGCAAGTCATATATTCAAGTTTTTTCACTCTTTTTGATAAAAAAGTAATTGAGAATAACCGTCACAATTTTGAAATGAATAACATAGATTTAAAAAAATTATTAACATATGTATATTATCTGGTTTACACTCTGCTTCAAGTTGATAGGCATTGGTCAAAGGATGAGGATAAAGAAGTGCATATTATAAGAGAAAGCATGAGCCGACATAGATTTATAATTTTAATTTATAATAGTGAAGAAACCGCTACATCAGTGTCAGTACATGAGCGTCAATCTAAGTTTGCCTTACCAGATGAAACCAGATTCGACAATATTGGCCACATTATAAAAAGAGACGATAGTGCAAAAATGTAGGATGTACAAAAGTAATACTATTTATTTATGTAAAAAGTGTAGAATGCATCTCTACACCCCGAATATTTCGAAAATTTTTACCTTAAAATTTAATTTACGTTTAAGATACAATATGTTCCTTTATTAAAAATTGTACTGTTTTCCTTAAAAATGAGAAAAAAAATCTTTTTGGTTGTAATTTATTCCTAATTTGTGTTTTTAATCCAATCTAATAAATTAATTGTCAAATTTCTCCTTGTATATTGAGCGGCCGTTAAGGGTTTAATACTATATAAAGAATAAACTGGCCTCAAATTTACTTTACTTACCTCAAAACTATTTTAAAGTTAATAATAAAGTATATTTAATAAATATATTCCCAATAATACACTACGCCTATGTACATATGTATCAAATCTGGAAGATATCATATTTCATAAACTTCAATAAACTAAGATATCATATTTCTCTAATTAACATTCTTTCTAAAAACGTAAATATATATAGACCAGCAAAATATTGATAATTTTACCGATGTTCCAAACTATTCTATGAACTTGTCTCACTATACACTCGTGAATCGCACCAATTTATACTGTTACGGGGGCAAATTTATCTTAGATGGGTTACAAATTTACATATTTACATGGGCGAAGCATACACAATAAAAATGACCCCGGTAAGAATTTACTAATGAAATTGTTCATGGTTGCCGCTACCGTTTAGTTCAATTTGTAGATTAGTCACCTTTAATTGAAAATTGTCCGACTATATAGAAATGTATTTTACATAGTATTTTGACAAGCTAAATCTTTAAACAGACTGTCCGAACTTAAATAATAAAAAATAAAACAAAAATAATAAAAATGAATACAATGAAATAATATAGTCATTCCTACTTTTGCTAAGGTCAAAACATCAAAAACTGTACCTGAGAAGGAAAAACAAATTTTGGAGAAAAACATCCTGAAAAGAGAACTTAAAAAGCACTAAACGAAGCTTCATTAGGTATATAAATGTCAACTTTTAAATTCCTTATGACAAATTGGCAATATCATCATCGGTGTTTTGATAGTGACTCCTTTAGCCATATAGACGATGAGGTTTCCCGCTTACAATCCACCATCACAAGAAAATAAGTCTTACTAACAAATTAAACCGTTTGATTTTGGAAAAACAACGTACCAGTGCCTCAACAATTTTGCATAGGTTTTTAGGTCACCAATGTCATCCTGAGTCATAAATCTAAGTAACACTAACTTTTTAATGATTAGGCCTTAAGTTTTTTTGTCAGAATTATAGGTTAACTGACAGTGCTAGGAAATTTTTTAGTATAGGTGGATACTCAATAGAACGAATGACGAACAATGTTAAAATTAAACAGTATTTGAAAAACTCGTGCATTAGCTTACTTCAACAACAACAATGTAATTACAAACGTAATTTTTATAGAAACCACTTCTTCTTAACGTGCCATACATCAAAGTGCATAGGCGACTATCTCATTACTAGAATTCTGTTCTTGGCGGCGTGACACAGCTCACCTGCATTGTGTATTCCTGTCCATTCTTTAATATTCCTTAACCAGGATAATTGTTTGCGGCCGGCTCCTCTCCTACCTTCGATCTTCCCTTGTAGGATTAACTGTGGTATTTCATATTTGGCTCCTCTCAATATGTGCCCAAGGTAACCAATCTTGCGTTTTTTAATTAATTTAAAGAGTTCTCTTTCCACGCCGGCTCTATTAAGGACGTCATCACCTACTACAACTCTATCCACCCAAGGTATGCGCATCATTCTTCTCAATGACCACATTTCAAATGCTTCAAGTTTGTTGATAGATGTTTTTTTCAAAGTCCACGTTTCCATGCCATAAAGCAAGATGGACCATATGTAGCACTTGACCATTCTGTAGCGTATTTCGAAGTTTAGGTGTTGATTACATAGGAGCGGTCTGAATTTCACAAAAGCTTGTCTTGCCATTTGTATTCGGGTTTTTATCTCGTGTTGTGGATCCGATTGGTCATTGATTGTGGTGCCAAGGTATTTAAAAGTTTTCACGCGATTTATACGATTTTCACCTATGCATATTATCGGGTTTTCTGGAGGGTTTCTGCTAATGACCATATATTTCGTTTTCAAAATGTTGATTTTGAGGCCATATTTTTTACCTATCCTATTCACCCTATAGAAACCACTATGCTTTTGAAAAACAAAACGATTTGCTAAAATTAATTAAACACAAACTGTATACGAGATTCTTTAGTACTAAGCAAGGCTGATAAGGGAAAATGTGTTGTAATCCTAGAACAAGTTCCATACGTAGACATACGTAGATTAAGTGGAATATTTCCTTTTAGATAAAAGTTTTGTAATTTTAGAAAAAAATCTAGTCAATAACTTTCTATAATCCCATAACACCTAGGTTATATCAGGATTGTTGTAAGTTTCTGCAACACTCCACTGTTACTATTATCGGAGTTTATTTACAATACAATTAAGTCTATCACTAATTTTAAACAAACATTTTTCGTTATAAATTCTTTAGATTTGATGATTGTTTAAATAACAGAAATCTGAATAAAAGAAAGTTTTTATTTGGTTTATTTTGACATTTGCAATTTGTTAAATTCTGTACCAAGAAATGAAACTTCACCTTTACTACAAAACCTTTTACATATTTCCAACATATTAGTAAAAGACAAAGATGCCATTAACTTTAAGTTTGACTAAACCAGTGATATAATACTTCAGTTTGCACATTTTATTTCTAAGTATTTTTATTTCATATTTCATATTTTTTTTCTATAGTATTGGTAGTACCTGGTAGTACCTGGTAGACCTTTTTAGTGTAGTCAACCAACCACTATCTAGCAGACTATTTAGTCTAGTTCTTAGACAAGGAAAGAGAAAGAACAGATAACACTCATTTAATAAACCTTCGAAAAGTGAAGCCAGTTTCTATGTGACCGACATGATTTGGTGCCTGTACGTTGCCCATTACTACCTCTCACAGGGTTACCAGGTCTACTGATTTTTCAGTAGATCTACTGATTTCAACTTCAATTTACTGATTTACTGAAACACTATATCGATCTACTAAAAAATATGTAATGATAAAATTATGTTCAAAAAGTGATCATTATGTCAGTGTTTAATTATAAATTTAAAAAAAATCTATTTATTGATATATATTCATTATTCTCAATCTACTGAAGAAATAAAATATAACTTGGTAACCTTTTTGGTGCCAGTTTAGGCTTCAGTCAATTCCATACGATTACTCGTCCCCTCTCTTTACTTGCCTAAGGTCTAGTTCATACATTTATACTCTGTGTCTCCTACATTTGCCCCCAAATGAACACTTATACACTATATTACTGATCGGTTGGACTTGTGGTCAATGTTCAGTTTGCCATAGAATTTTTAAAATGTGTAGATCACTTTAGTTAGCGACTGTCCATCTTACTTGTGATATGTTAGATATCACATTAATATTTTCGTTAAATCTGAACGACTAGGAACCATTCTATCTCCTACCTTTGTCCATAATATAACTGTATCCACCTTTGCATCCAAACAATTTTTAAACTGTTTTTCCTTTGTCTAGTGTTAGTTTTTTGTATAGATGCATTTAAATGTCTACAACATTCGATAGTGTGCTGGATATTCAAAAATTTTTTAAAAAGTAAATCTAAAATGTTCTATAAAAATTTTCATAAACCATTTTTTAGCTTATTTCAGATGCCACTGAAGATGCTTTGAGACCGAAGAACAAGATTTATTAAAAAGTTGTGCTTTACATCTGCCTTTTATTTGTAAAGTTAATTTTAAATTACTACAGAAAAAATTGTTGTAGTTACTTTTAGATCGCTTGTAATATTTATTGTAGTTACTGTTTTGTTTTTTTTTATAATATTTAAACCGTTGTCAGTAAATTAACTATACTTTCATTTTCAACCGACTATAGTTCCACACAGTATTGAAAAAGTTTATAGTTGTTTTTGCAAACGATACCAACTTGTCTATCTTTAAAACTTCCCCAGATACTAATCCCTAAACTTACTTGAAAGTTTCGTAGTGATGTCTATCCATGTTCCCAGTGAGAAAATCGAAAACAGACATATCCATTAAATCGTACAACCTTCTGCCCTTATCGTAGGGTGGTATTTCTCTAACAAGTTGGCAATAGTTGGGGTCGGTCTCCCACTGGGCTTTCCGCCGTTTATGATACGATCTTCGCCATGGATGCCTCCATACCTGAAACAATTTATCCTTTATTAAAAACGTTTAAGAAAAATAAGAGCGCTTGAGTTTTTTATTCTTAATCATAAAAAATGTTTATAAGGGAATTAACTTTTTTAATTTTCACCACAAGCCAAAAAATGGTATCGTTACTGTGACATAGATGGTTATTTTCGCATTAAGTGTGTATACTGTGAAAACAACAAAGCAAAGAGCGTTGTGTGATATTATTGGCGTTATAGTTTAAAGCTTATATTATAGATAAGCACGAAACAAAAACAAAGAAAATCAAAATTGTAAAGAACAAGTATTCAAATACACAAAGTTAAGCGTATATTAAAGTTAAGTTGTAAACTAATGTCATATTGATAAACAAGGATTAAATTGGTGATAAAGTGGTAAAATGGCAGCATTACCTTAGTTGGAGCAACTTTTGAGGACGGCAAAAACGCAGCGAAACTCCCTTCTAACGTATCAGGGTTTCCACAGATGGCATGCGATGTGTCACAGTAGTACGAACATTTACCATGAAAACAAAGGTTGTCACTTGGAGATACAAAGAAGGTGTTGAGGAGTTCGCCTTCACATTTTTGATATAGTTCTGTGGTCATGTTAAGTAGTCGGCCAGTTACTGGCATGGCGCGGTGAAAGCCCAGGAGCCTGAAATTATAAATAAATATTTTTTAATGTAAATATAGTTATGTATTACTATTGTATTGCATAACATCTGATGATTAGTGATCGCTTATGGATTGATTAGACTCGAAAAACCGTATTACTCTAATCTAATACTCCATAACAGATAAGTATTTTTGAATAATTTTAAAAATAAAAATCATATTTTTCGGTTAACATGTCGTATACTATAAAAAATGGTGGATGGTAAGGTAAGATGAGCAAATTTCAAATATCAGGAAAGAAAATATTCATAATATAAGAAACGTTTATGTTTTTCGATGGCCTAATTTAAAATTCTTGAATTTGTCACTTTTTTAATCAGATGGAGAACGAAAATATAGGACTTCGTCGATTTCTTCTTTTATTCGTGTACCTCATCGTTTAGGATATGCGATCATCACAGGTCATTTTCTCTGTCTTAGCTGTTCTGAAAAGTTCTTTTATTGTTTTTCCGCTCCACTGATTTAAATTTTTCAATAAGGACGTGCGTGGTTTTCCCGGTCCTTTTTTTCTTTCATTTTCCCTTGTGCAATCAATCGCATCCACACTTAGTTTTTATTTCTGAGTATGTGATCCAAGTAGCTCATTTTTCTTTCCTTTATAGTGTTAATTTTTTTTTCAACTTGCTAATGTTTCCGTGTTTGTTACGTGTTGTGTTGATATTTTCCACATTCTTCGATAACACCAAGTCTCAAAACTGGTAAGTCTTTTCTCAGTTGTGTCCGTAATTGTGCAGGCTTCATTCCATACAAAGGGCAAGAATAGTAGATCATACCCTAGTTCTAATTTCAATTCCCAGTTTTTCATTGCATAATACTGCTTTCATCTTAGTAAAAGCGCTTCTGGCTATCTCAATGCGTCATTTTATTTTAAGGCTGCGGTCCCATTGTTCATTTAGCTTACATCCCAAGTAATTGTTATCTGGTACTTTCTCTAAAGCGTTTTCTTTAACGTAGATTGTTTCGTCTCCAATCTTGTTCTTACTGACAATCATGGTTTTTGATTTTTGTATGTTCAGATCGATTTCATACTCTCGCAGTACTGCGTAGTGCGATTAACCAAAATTTGCAGCCTTCTCTGCTGTCCGCAAGGAGTATTGTATCGTCTGCATATCTGAGATTATTCACTACGTTGTTAATATATGCCTCATGATGTCTTCTAGTGCCTCTTTAAAAATCTCTTCTGAGCACATATTATATAGTAGAGGGGATAGTACACATCCTTGTGATACTCCTCTTTAGATATCCTCTTCGTATCCTTTAGATTTTTGTTGGTCTATTCGTATTATATCTTTTTCATATCGGTATAAATTTGTTATATCCTGATCACATCTATTTCTGTGTTTCGTAATATGTTTGCCAACCATCTGCGCTGTATTTTGTCGAAATATTTCTCATAGTAGACCAGACATATGAATACCTCACAGTTGACATCTTGACAACATTCTATAAGTATAAGTTTGTATAGTGAATAATGACACTTAAGTGCCAAAGACTCTCCTAAATTCCACTTTGTTTCTGGTTATTCTAGTTTTATGTAGCCACGTTCCTGTATTATTCAAAAGAAGGCTTTTAAAACATGGTTCATCAAGCTGATCATTCTATATTCTTCACATTTCATTAAATTGAGTTTTTTTGTATTAAAATTTTTTAGATACGGCTAACATAACTAATAGCTAATATAACAGATATTAGCCATTTTTTCGGAATTTCCCGGGTATAATAAATTTTATTAAATAATTCTACTAATATATCAATGTGGTGCTCTGTTAGTAGTCTTAAGATTTCTGTAGATATTTCATCGGGTCCCATGGCTTTATCATTTTTATACGTTTTAGTGTGTTTTAAATTTCCTCGCAGGTAACTAAGGTCAGAAATAAGTAAACAGATCCAACAAACGATTCAAAATAACAAGAGTCTCAATGTTGTCACGAGAACATTGAAAAATTGTATAAAAGAAATAATAAAATTAAAGGATAAAGATGGAACTACCATCGCCAACAGAGATAAATTACTAAGGGTAGTAGAAGATTTCTATACAGAATTATAGAAGTCAACAAAACCATGATAAGCAACTATTAGAAAAATTAGAAAACTCAAAAAAAAGATTAGTCAACCAAGGATCGAAACTGATGCCTCATATATCAACAGCAGACGAAATAAGTAACAAAATGAAAAGAAATAAAGCACCGAGAGAATGTAAAATTGTTATAAAAGCCGTAAAGATTGCAGAAGACCGATTTTTAGAGACAATAAAGAAATTGTTTAGCTTATATCTGCACCAAAGTGAAACACCTACAAGATGGCACAGTGCACTTACCATTTTATTACACAAAAAGGGCGATCCAACAGACCTCGAGAATTATCGACCCATAAGCCTGTTAAACTACCTATACAAGTTATTCACAAGAATAATAACAAATAGACTGGAAACAAAATTAGATTTTTACCAACCTAGGGAACAGGCAGGTTTAAGGAAAAACTTTGGCACCAAAGACCACCTCCATATACAACCGACCATTGGTTCTAGCTTTCGCAGAACATTACAAAGCATTGGATATGACAGAAATTAACAGCGTAATGAGAGCGTTGGAGAAAATTCGCATAGATTATCGGTACTTCAAACTGATCGCGAATATCACGTATAATATATACAATAATGCAACCATGACCGTAAGACTACACTCAGATACAAACTGTATTAAAATAAATAAAGGAATCAGACAAGAAGACACATTATCACATAAAATCTTCTAAAACTTTAAAAAAAAATTGGGGTGGGATGCCAAAGGAATCAATGTCGATAGCAAAATACTATCACACCTACGATTTGCGGATGACATTGTTCTGGTAACAGATGACTTAAAAGAGTTAGGAACTATGCTAACTAAGATAGATGCTGCCTGTAACGAAGTTGGTTTGAAACATAAATTTTGGAAAGACAGAATACATGACAAATCTGGTACCAAGCGAAAATCCATAAATCAACTTAGGTAGGTCATAGAATCCTAAATACTTTGGTCGTAAAATCCAAATTGCTAGGGACAACCAAACTACAAAGAAAAATCACTTTAACATGGGCCGCATATGGAGCTCTATAGACATCTTCAAGAGCAACATGCCAAATTATTTAAAAAAGAAGACGTTGGTCGTTTGCCTCCAGTCATGACTTACGGCGCCGAAATACTTTTTTTAACCCAAGCTTCTTCTTCTTCTTTGAGTGTCTCTCCTATTGGAGATTGGATATCATTATGGCGATTCTAATTTTGTTTACTGCTGTTTTGAATAATTCGTTAGGGTACAGCTAAACCACTCGCTTAAATTTCTCATCCAGGACATTCTTCTACGGCCTGGATTTCTGCGTCCTTGGATTTTTCCTTGCATTATATTTAGTAGGAATGTGTACTTTTGTCCTCTCATCAGGTGGCCTAAGCAAGTTTTGTCTTTTTTATACTCATAATAACTTCTGAATCGTTATTTATTCTACGTATTACCTCTTCATTTGTAATTTTATCCACCCAACTTATTTTTAGTATACGGCGTTAGCACCACCTCTCGAAGCTGCAGCAAATAAACTCAGAGTATTTCAAAGACGAATGGAATGCTCGCTACTTTAACTGACCCTCAAAAACACAGTAAGAAACGAAGAAATAAGAAGAAGGAGAGACGTTACATATATCATAGAGCGTATAGCATCGTTGAAGTTGAACCGGGTGAACCATGTGGCCAGAATAAATGACAAGCAGTGGACCCAAAAAATTACAATTTGGAGACCAAAAGCTAACAGAAGAAGAAGAGGTATATCACTCAAACGTCAAAAGAATGGTCGGGAATTGGATGCAAGAAGCTTAAGACCGACAGAACTGGAAGAAATTAGGGAAGATATATGTCCAACATTGGACGCAGAACGCTGTATGATGATGATGAATTAAAGGTCCATTTCTTTGTCTTGGATCTATTGTCTCCATTGTTTCGTCGTCTTCAAATAGCTCTTTTGTATATTCTTCTCATCTATTTATTTTCTCTGAACTTTTAGTTGAGTATTAGTAGGTAGATAGTGTTCCTTCTGGAGCGGAAGTGACGTCACACGTCGATCGTCAAGCGTACGTATCCTCATGGGCCAAGGCCACGCCCCCCTCGTGACGTAGGAACGTGCCTAGGGTCTCGAGGCCACGCCCCTCGACCAATGGTGACGTAGGAACGTACCTCGTGTCTCTAGACCACGCCCCTCGGCCAATGGTGGTGTAGGAACGTCCCCCCATGTCTTGCTGACCAATGGTGGACGTTCTCGTGACGTCGGAACGTGTCGTCGACCAATGGCAGCATAGCAGCGTCAGTGGTGGGAATAGCAACACCCCCAGCGACCAATGACAGCTCAGAATTTGAATAAACATCATAGAAATGGCGGTCTAGCGATGAGGAACCAATGGTGACATAGTAACGCCCTCCTCGTGACGTCGGAACGTGTCGTTGACCAATGACAGCATAGCAGCGTCAGTGGTGGGAATATCAGGCCAATGGTGGCATAGTAACGCCCTCCTCGTGACGTCGGAACGAGTCGTCAACCAATGACAGCATAGCAGCGTCAGTGGTGGGAATATCAGGCCAATGGTGGCATAGTAACGCCCTCCTCGTGACGTCGGAACGTGTCGTCGACCAATGACAGCATAGCAGCGTCAGTGGTGGGAATAGCAGACCAATGGTGGCATAGGAACGTCCCCCAATGGCCTGCTGGCCAATGGAGGACGTCCTCGCGACGTCGGAACGTGTCGTTGACCAATGGCAACATAGCAGCGTCAGTGGTGGGAATAGCAACACCCCAGCGACCAATGACAGCTTAGAATTTGAATAAACAACATAGAAATGGCGGTATAGCGATGAGGGACCAATGGTGTCATAGTAACACCCTCCTCGTGACGTTAGAACGTTTTTCTCGACCAATGATGCCACTGAAACGTGTCCTCAACCAATGGCGGACATCCT